AGAGGGAAAGTGAGAAAGCAAGCTGCCAGGACCAGGGCTCAAATGATGGTTGGCCATCTGGGAATCCAGTGCCTCAACCATCATGTCATCTGTGAGCCTCATTTGTCTTTTTTCATAGAGAAATTATGGGGGAGAAAGGTGAACTAAATAAAAAGATCTTAATTTTCATTTTAAATGTTTCATGTATCTTTTTTTTTTAAAGAATTATTTTGTTTTTTATTTATTCATTCATTTATTTCATTTTTTAAATTGTGACCAGAGAGGGCAGAGCAAGAGAGAAAGAGAGAGTGGGAACGTGACAGAGCAAGCCTCCAGGTCCAGGACTTGAACCATGGTCGGCCATGTGGGAGTCCAGCATCCTTAACCACCACGCCACCTGCCGGCCCCTGTTTCATGTATATTAAGATATTTCCTTTTTGACTTTTATTCTATGCTTCTATATCTGATGAAATATATATATATTTTCTAATCCTATATTTCATGCTTCCCTGATCTAACTGGTACTGGGAGAGATGTAAGTCTCCCACTATTTTGCCCTTGGGACTCCCTGTAATGGCTTTAAAAAAAAAAAAAGAAACACCAGCGAGCATGTGCACACTTGAGAGAGAAAGAAAAAGTACCTCCTCAGGAGCTTGGTCATGCTGTAATACTTTTTTTTTGGAGAAGTTTTTGCTATAGGGCGCGTGCGCTCGCCAGATAGAGAGAGACATAGAGATAGAAAGCAAGAAATCACCCCCCAGAGGGGATGGTCACGCTGCAATCCCTTCTCCTCCATTCTCCTCTTGGGATCTTGGGCACACACGCACACGCGCCGGCGTGAGTTTTAAGCCACCGGGTCCGGGATGCGAACCATGGTCGACTATGTGGGAGTCCAGTGACATAGCCATTACGCTAACTGCTGGTTCCCATGCTGTAATACTTTTTGAAATCTTCATCTGTCAGGATCCTGGGCACACGCATGCAGCTTGTTTTTCAACTTGCTGGGTTTGGGACTCAAACCCTGGTTGACCATGTGAGATTCACCTCCCTCTGCATAGTGCTTAATGACCATGCTACAGGATAGGCCCTATGATGGCTTTTTTTCCATGTTGCATCAGAACAACCTAATAGATTCCATGAGGGAATGTTGCTCATTTGTCCCTTGGCCAACTCTCACCTCTATTCCTTTTTACCTCTTTGGTATACTTAGTGAGATGTGAGACTCTCTTTTAATTGTATATACTTAAGTGCTACAGCAAGGCGTTTTGATACACATAGTGAAATGATTATTGCAATCAAATAAATTACCCATCGCCTGCAATTAGTTAACTTTTTTTTTTTTTTTTTTTTTTGGTTGTGGTAAGAACAACTAAAATTTACTGCTAATTTTCTCTGTACAGCACTGTATTGTTAACTGTAGGGCTCTTCCTGTACATTGGATCTCCAGACTTAGTCAAGACTATTCCCTCCAGATACTGATGCTTTGTTTGAGAGTCTTGTATTCTTTGGAGGCTTTTTTCTAGCAGTAATTTCTAACGGTATCTAAAGTGTAGATAGCACTATTTCAAAGTCACTTTTGTTGGTGTAAGGTTTCTCCCCTAATGTAAACTTTATTTGTGTGTGTGTGTGTGTGTTTTAATTTTGCTATAGGACACCTGTACTAGCCCCAGAGAGAGACAGAGAGGAAGCAGGGGGAGAGTGAGAAAGCACCCTCTGGAGAAATGTGGCCGTGTTCAGTCAGTTTCCATCTCCACTTGGGATTTTGGGCACACACACACGTGTGCCCAGTGTATTTTCCAACGGGGTCTGGAACTTGTACTGCTTTAACCATTATGCCATCAGCTGATCCCCTAGTGTAAGCTTCGTGAGAGTGGGGATTTCTGTGTTTTGGTAACTGCTATAACTGCAGCATTTGTTTTTGTGTGTGTTGTTGTTGTTGTTTTGAGAGGTTTTTGCTATAAGGCACGTGCGCTGGCCGGAAAGACAGAGAGAGAGAGAGACAGAAAGCAAGAAATTCCCTCCCAGTGGGGATGGCCACAACGCAATCCCTTCTCCATTCTCTTCCCGGGATCTTGGGCATGCACGCATACACATCCGTTGTGAGTTTAAGCCACTGGGTCCGAGACTTGGCGACTATGTGGGAGTCCAGCGACAATAGCCATTACGCCAATTGCTGGTCCCATTGCAGCAGTTGTAATGTATCTAAAACACTGTAGTAACTCAGTGTTTGTTGAATAAATGAATCTGAATTCATGAAAGCATGAATGTGAATAAATGAATTTTAAAAAACAAAAGCAAATGTTTAACATTTTGAACTTTGGACTTTATTCATCTTCAGTTATATTTATTTTTTCTTGTCAGTATTGTAGTTGGGGCAGACCTAAATGCCCTGTTATGAGGGCGCATATGCTCCAGTGTATCTCTAGAATATATGTTCATTTTTTCCTTTATTCTCAAATACAATTTCTTCAGTTAACACAGTTTAATTTATTCATTTAGCATTCACTTAGTAAATCTAGGTCCTGTAAGTAAGGAAGTAAATTGAACAGTATTATTTATAGGAGCAAAGGATTATTTTATTACATTTGTATACATTATGATAGGCCTTGGACTCATTAAATACAGCTTCCTATTTCAACACAGATGGTCCCAAACTTATGATAGCTGGACCTAATGATTTTTTATTTTATAACCGTGTGAATATTAGGCATAATTTGTTAGGGAGTAACTATACTTTGAGTACTCATACATTCTGTTTTTCACTTTCAGCATATTATAGAGATTTTTTTAAACTTTATTATAAAATAGGTTTTATGTTAGATGATTTTGTCCAACTCTAGGCTAAGAGATTTGTAGATTCTGAGATTTTTATTACTATTACTTTTTTAAAGAGTTTTTTTTTTAGAATTATTTTATTTAACTTTATGTGTATATGTATTTATTTAAATTTGACCAGAGAGGGACAGAGTGAGAGAGCAAGCAAGAGATAGAGAATTAGAAAATGAGAAAGCAAGCTGCCAAGTCTGGAACTCAAATGGTTGGCCATGTGGGAGTCCAGCGCCCTTAACTACCACATCACCTGCCGGCCCCCTATTACTATTATTTTTTTAAAAGTTTGACAGAGGGTATGTGTGCTCGCCAGAGAGAGAGAGGGGAAGGAAAGGGAGGAAAGGAAGAGACCATCCACAAATGGGGCATGGTTGTGGTGCAATTCCTTCTCCTCCGTTTCTCAATCCTGTTAGAATTTTGGGCACATGCACACACACTCCCATCATGTTTTTCAAAGCTGTTGGGGCTGAGATTAGAATCGTGTTCAGCCATGTGGGATCCAGCTCCTTTAACCACTGGGCCACAGGGCCAGCCCTAGCATGCTTAAGGAATACTAGGCTAAACTATAATGTTTGGTAGGCTAAGTATGTTAAATACATTTTTATTTATTCATTTTTTTTTTCAGTTGCCAAAGGGCACGTGTTCTGTCCAGAAAGGAGGAGAAAGCAGCCTCCTACAGTGGGCCATGGTCTTGCCATAATCCCTTCTCTTCCATTTCTCCAACTTGCCAGGATTTGGGGCACATATGCATGTATATCCAGCATATTTTTCAAGCCACCATGGCCAGGATTTAAACCACAGTTGGCCATCTGGAATCTGGCTCCCTTAACCACTGGACTATGAGAATGGCCCTGTCCAATGCATTTTTGAATTACAATATTTTTCACTTAGAACAGATTAATTGGAATCTAATCCTATTTAAATTGATGAGATCCTGCCATACAGAGAGACTTCTTAGAACTTGGGTTGTCACCTATGGAATTTGTAAGTGACTATTAGAAAATACTAACAGTATTTCCAAGATTGCATAAATCTTAGAAGATATTTTTAGTCTCACATTTTTCAGTGCTCTGAAAGCAATGTATTTTCTTTAGTTGTCATTTACTGAATTGATTGGTTCTTAGGATTTTCTCATGTCATACTGATTTGGGAAGGAACATTGTTCCTGAAGAAATTTATTCAAAATGATGGCTTTTCATCACTATTTCTGTGCAGAGATTTGTGGTAGTATTTGTTCATTTGCTTTCCCACCATTCTTTTCCCATTCAACAACATTTCATAGGTCTTTACAGTGATTAGGAACTGAGAGGCAAAAAGTACACACTCATGATTGATTTTGTGCTGTAAATTGGGGAGTCATTTGGAGGTCATTCTCAAACATTCTTTGATCCTATAGTTATATTTTTTGAAACGTACTCCTAGGGAAACAAAACTTAAGAGAAAAAAACGTCAATTTTTTTAAACTTAAAAGCTTCTAGTGCATCTGTAAAATAGCATATGCCCAATAATTGAGATGAGTATGATATTTGGAAATGTTAAAATGAAACATGAAGCAATGTACTAATTCTGGCTATTACAAAAAAGAGAAATTCTTGGTGATAGAGATTGGAAAAGAATAGAATTATTTGACTTGTTGATCTTAAGTTTATAGAGTTCTTTTCAGGCAAAAATGTTTAAACATATGTTAAAAATTCATCCTTTGTAAAGCTGGCCTTGTAGTGCACAGTGATTAGCACAGGGAGCCAGAGCCCGCGTGGCCTGCTGGTTCAAATCTTAGTCCAGCAGCTTGAAAAACATACTGGGCATGTGTATGCACATGACCAGGATCCTGACAGGATGGAGACAAGGAGAGGGATTGTGGTGTGACCAGGCTCCATTGAAGGGTTCTTTCTCTCTGTTTCTCTGCATGTGCATATGTATGTGCCCTCTGGCATTAAAAATAAAATCCATTATAATAAGTAACAGTGGATATAAAAGAAAATAGTTTATTTAAATTTGAAAAATGCTTGAAATAGACTGTGTAGTTATATATGCTTGTGCAAAATAAATATAAATAATGTATAAATACTGAAAATTATAGATGTCATACTTAAGAAAAAACTTAGTTTTTCATGGAAAGAGGACTGTTCCCAAACTTCACAGCCACCAAGTAGAAATTGTCTCTAACTATTGCATAACTTTTATTTTTACAGGCCAAAGAGTGTGGCCAAATGCAGAATAAGTGGCTAATGATAAACATTCAAAATGTGCAAGACTTTGCATGCCAGTGCCTCAACCGTGATGTGTGGAGTAATGAAGCTGTGAAGAATATTATCCGGGAGCATTTCATTTTCTGGCAGGTAAGAATTAATAAAAATGTTTGCAGTATTCTCCTTTTCTAGTATAGAGTGCTGGGAAGGAGATATTAGATTATATGTGAAAGAAATTAATAACCGAATTAAATTATGACATAGAAGAAAGTTAAACTACTGACCAAAATAGGAAAGGCAAATAAAAGGGCAACAATGTAGAACTCCCAAGGGATGAAGGAAAATAGAACCAAATCATATAGACAAGTAATACTACTACACCAGAAGAGTTTAAATGGAGTATGCAGCATATTTAATGGAGTATGCAACTGTATTTTCAAAAGAAGCATATTGTAAAGCCACATAATTAAAATTTTGTAGTAGTCGCATTTAAAAAGGTAAAAAGAAACAGGCAAAATTAGTTTTAATACTATATATTTTGTTTAATATGTTCATAAAAACATGATTGAGATGTTTTGGTGATGAGGCCTCAACATATGGTGTGTTTTATACCTATAGCACATTTCAATTCAATCTAGCCCCATTTCAAGTACTTCAGTAGGCACACATGACTAGTGGCTCCTATTTTGGATGGTGCAGCTGTGAAAGATCTTTGAGTAATAAGAAAACATTTGGCTAAAACGCTTGCATTTGACACTATGTCCTTAGACATGCCTCATTAATCTTTATGACACTTTTCTTTTTATATAAAAATTTGAGCTAAGGTTAGATGATCTTGCTCTAATTTTTAAATTTTTTAAAAATACTTTATTTAACTTTATTTATTTATTTTATTTTTAATTTGACCAGAGAGAGACAGAGCGGCAGGGAGAGTTGGTGAGAAAGCAAGCTGCTAGGTCCTGGACTCAAACTGTGGTCGGCCATGTAGGAGTCCAGTGCCTTTAACCACCATGCCATCCACTGGCCCATAATTTTTTATCTTTTAAAAAATAAGAGAAAATAAAAACTTCAGAACTGAATTTTTCCCCCACTAGAAATAGGCTATTAACATTATTACCTTGAGCATTTATGTTTTATAGACCTCAAACTTCAATTTTTTTTTTTTGTTTGTTTTGAGAGGTTTGCTATAGGGTGCTTGTGCGCACCAGAAAGACAGAGAGAGACAGAGAGACAGAAAGCGAGAAATCACCCCCCCAGAGGGGATGGCCACACCACAATCCCTTCTCCTCTGTTCTCCTCTGGGGTTCTTGGAACACATAAACATGTGCCCAGCATGAGTTTAAGCCACCGGGTCCAGGACTAGAACCATGGTCGACCACATGGGAGTTCAGCGACATAGCCATTATGCCAACTGCTGGTCCCATCAATATGATTTTTTAATAATAATGGAGTATGCAGCTGTATTGTTCAAAAGAAACATTGTAAAGCAAATTTATTCAGCAAATAGTGAGCATACATTGTACTATGCTAGGCACTTGAGCTTATAATCAATATATTTTAACTTACTGATATGACTGAGAGTCAGGAATGACATAGGTGGGCAGATAACTTGAACAGGAAGAACAGTACTTCTGAACTGGGAAAGGAGAAAGAATGAATTGATATGGTAAGTTTTCAGAAGGAGCTGAAGGCAAGAAACTGAGTTCATACCAGATGGCTATTTTCTTTTTAATGTAGGACTGACTGAGCATCTATCACTTAACACCAAAAATATATTTGAAGAATTAATTGTTGTTGGTGTATAGCAAAGTTATAATTGGTCCTTTTTTTCAGAGGCTGACTTCTTTATGTCAATGTTTTATAGGTTTATCATGACAGTGAGGAAGGTCAGAGATACATACAGTTTTATAAGCTAGGGGATTTCCCCTATGTTTCCATCTTGGACCCACGGACAGGTAATATTTATATCAGCTTATAGCCTTTCAACTATCATTTATCTTTCAGTTACCTAAATGATCTTTAACATTTGACTAAATCTTATTTTAGAATCTTACTCATCTAGGTGATGTTTGGTTATTTATTCCCTTTATGCCTTTTTTCTTTCTCTTTTTTTCTTGCTATAGGGTATATGCACTTGCTAGAGAGAGAAAGAGAAATAGGGAGGGAAAATGAGAAAGTATCCTCCAAAGAGGATAGCCCACTGGAATCTCTCCTCCATTTTCATCTTGGGACTTTGGGCCTTCACTTCACACCCACGCGCACCTGCATGTTTTTCAAGCAGTGGGATCTAGGACTCAAACCATGCAATTGGCCATGTAAGATCCAACTGCTTTAACCACCATGCCACTGGCTGGCCCAATTCCCTTTATACTTATTTAAATCTCAGTTGGCATGTGTATTTAGGGAACCTGTTCCTGGCAACTTTGGGAGATGATAGTGTTTTATATTTGTGCATTCTGTTCCTTTTTTTTTTTTTTTTGAGAAGTTTACGCTATAGGGTGCGTGTGCTCGCCAGATAGACAGAGAGAGACATAGAGACAGAAAGCAAGAAACCGCCCCCGAGGGGGGATGGTCACACTGCAATCCCTTCTCCTCCATTCTCATCTTGGGCACGCACGCACATGCGCCCGGCATGAGTTTTAAGCCACTGGGTCCGGGACGCGAACTGCGGTCTACTATGTGGGAGTCCAGCGACATAGCCATTATGCTAACTGCTGGTTCCCCAGTTCTGTTCTTTTAAAGAATAATTACGTTCATCTTTCTCATCTTTTTTTTTTTTTTTTTTTTTTTTGGAGAGGTTTTTGCTATAGGGCACGTGCACTCGCCAGAAAGACAGAGACAGAGAGACAGAAAGTGAGAAATCACCCCCCAGGGGGAATGGCCACACCTCAGTCCCTTCTCCTCCATTTTCCTCTCCAAATCTTGGACACTCATACACATGCACTCTGTGTGAGTTTAAGCTACCGGTCCAGGACTTAAACTGTGGTCGACTACATGGGAGTCCCAATGACATAGCCATTATGCCAACTGCTGGTCCCTTTCCCATCATTTTATAAGGGATCCTCTTTTGTTTTCTATCATAAATTATTAAGATTGTTTAGGTACTTGTTAAAATTTCATGAGAGAAGCAAAGAGTGAAGCTGTTTTTATTATTTTTATGTTATTATTTTTAAATTTACTATAGGGTGTGTGTGCTCTCCGGGAGTGGGGGGGGAGTAAGAAAGCATCTCCTGGGGGATGTCCCTGCCACATTCTCTTTTCCTCCATTCTCCTCTCAGGATTTTGAACACACATGTACACATGGCTGACATGCTTTTCAGGCTGCCAGATCTGGGACTGGCACTGCCCAGTCACGCATGTGGGATCCAACCAACTTAACCACCATGCCACCTGGCTGGCCCAGAACTGGTTTATGATTAATTGATTGTTTTTTATATAGATACTACTTTGTCTGAATCTCTTCCTAAATATCAGTAAATGAAATCAATAGATAAAATAGTTGCCCTGTCATGATGATTGGGAATCTCTTAGGTCAATTTTAATATGTACCCTTTAGGTTATGAAGACATTATGTAACTTAAGCTGGGTAAAGGGCGGAGATATGTGTACATTTTCATTATGCATATGCCAAAAGAAATACTTAATGAGAATGTCTAGAAAGTATATTCATTTTATTATATTTACATATCCTGGTTTTTAATCTTTAGGTCAGAAGCTAGTAGAATGGCACCAGTTAGATGTATCTTCTTTCTTGGACCAAGTGACGGGATTTCTGGGTGAACATGGGCAACTGGATGGACTTTCTAGCAGTCCCCCCAAAAAATGTGCCCGTTCAGTAAGTATGATGAGGAAATGATGATGGGGAGTCAAGTGTAATTGTACATAAGCATCCTGTGTAAAATGTTTGATAGTCAAATATTAAATATAATAATGTAACTAGTAGACAGTTAACATTGTGGCTATATATAATACCTTAGACACCTTCCTTTTATTCTGGTAATTTCCCACATAAAGGTTCCACCTTCTCATAGTCCTAGTCTTGGCAGCTCTGGTGCGAGCATGACCTAAGACCTGTATTTGGAAGTAATTTAACATGAAATGTAGAGCAAGAAGGTTGATGGAGCAAGCCTGGTGGTGAACATACCATACCCACTTGCTCCACACGGCACTGATTGGCTTATGGTATCTGGGTCTAAGTTCTGGAAATAGTATTTTTGCTAGAACAATTCTCGTGGTATAGTCAGGCATTATTGCTGGTTATATAGGTTTAGGGCCTGGTTCTTTGGCTCTCCTGGAAGTTATTCCTGTACTTAATGTTTATGGTATGCATTGTTAGGAAGATCTATTTGATAATTGATACCAAGGTAAGTTGCAAGTAAGAGACTTTCAAAAAATATGGCAATCTCACATTGGTTATGTATCTTGTTTGAGTTTGATGGCACTGAAGATAAATATAGTTTGGCAGTCCCTGTCATTAATGAAATTGTTCCTTAAGTCATCACCTAGAATAAAGTGCCTTAAAGGAGTAGTATAGAATTCTCTTTCAAGGCATTAAAAATAAATCCCTTAGGTTTTTTTTTTTTTTTTTTTTTTTAAGTTTATTTATTTACCACTTCTGAGAGACAGACAGGCAGACACATACACACACACAGAACAGGGTATTCATACCACAATGCATCCCCATTCTTAGTCAGCCCAAATCACAGGCATTTCTGTGCCCTCTTACCTTGGCATGTTCAGAGAGGTCCTGGGAAGCAAACCCAGAATATCCCTTATGTGGGTCCAGTTGTATTAATGCTTTCTCACTACCTGGCTACCAGAGTATTTTTTTATTCCCCAGGAGAGTTTTCCTAGCTTTTGCAATTACAAAGCTAATATTATTTTAAAAAACAGCCTGAGTGGGACAAGCAGATGGCATAATGGCTATGTCGCTGAACCCCCATGTAGTCCACCGCTCAGACCTGGTGGCTTAAACTCACACCGGGCGTTTGTGCGTGCCGAAGATCCTGAGAGAATGGAGGAGAAGGGATTACAGCGTGGCCATCCCCCCCGGGGGGTGATTTCTCACTTTCTCTACCTCTCTTTCTGGTGAGCGCATTGCCCCCGTAGCAAAAACTTCTTCAAAACAAAACAAAACAGAAAAACAGCCTGAGTTTGTGAATTGCTGGATTGAGATAAATTGAATTTATAATTTTCCCCATTTTCTTCTGAAAGTTAAAGGAGCTTAGTGGAAAAGAGGACCATAAAATTGGGATGAATGTTACAATTGTTCAACTGTGTTCAAAATAAAAACGCTAACAAATAATGGCTTAGATAAAGAAGAGATTTATTTGCCCCAGTAAGAAGTGCAGACAGGCAGTTGGCAGCTTGAATTCTATAGATGCTGTGAAGCAACCAGAGTTCCCCTCTTTTTGGGGAATTTTTTGTTGTTGTTGTTGTTATTTATTTCTACCATGAATGAGAGCGACAGAGAGACAACAACCCCAACAGGACCTTCATGATCAGTTCAACCAACGCCAGATGATGGCACACACATGCCCAGTGTACTCAGGAAGTCTTAGGTGTGAATCTGAAACTTTCCCATGTAGGTCAGTCTCAGAAAGCATTGTGTGTGCCACTTCACCACTGTCTGGCCCTCCCACCTCTTTTAGTATTGACTTTTGTCCTTAGGATCATAACATAGATGCTATACTGCTAGTTATCATATCTACATTCCAAGCATGGATGATGAGGAAGAGGGTGATACCTCTATTATAAGGGTAAATAGCCACAGGTAAGCATTTTGTATATTTTAGTTGGACAAATTTTCTTGCACAACAGAGTTAAGGCTCTAATAGTAAGGAGGCAGCATCTTTAAGAATGGAAACGAAATAGGAAGCTAGCAGTATCTGTCATAGTATTTAAAAATCAATGTACATGATACACAGTGTCATTCATTTTCTTCAGTTAATCCAAGCCATTGCATGTTGTGCGGGCACGTTTATTTGCTTTTGTGTGTGTGTAATAAATTAGCCTTAAGTTTATTTTTTTAATGTATATATTTAGCTTTATTGAAGTATAATTAAAGTACAGTAAACTGAACATATTTAAAGTAAACAGTTTAAGGGCCAGGAAGTGGCATAGTGTTTGAGGCGCTGGATTCCCACATTACCAGTGTTGATTCAAGTCCCGGACCTGGTGGCTTAAAAATCACACTGGCTCTGTGTCTATAATCTCAGGAGGAGAATGGCAGAGAAAGGATTGTGGTGTGGCCATCCTACTTCGGGGATGATTTCTTACTTTACCTCTTACCATTTCTCTCTCTGCAGTGAGCTCACGTGCCCTATGGCAGAAAACAAAACTAAACTAAAATAAGAATAAATTAATTAATTAACAGTTTGACAAGTTATGGCATTAGGCATGAGTTATCTCATTACTGAGATGTAAGAATTCTTTTTATATTTTAAATGTAAGTTCTTTTATGGTTTGCAAATATTTTCTTTCAATCTGTTGGTGGCTTACTCATTTTTATAATAGTATCTTTTTTTTTTTTTTTTGGAGAGATTTTCACTGTAGGGCGTGTGCGCTCGCCAGACAGACAGAGAGAGACATAGAGACAGAAAGTGAGAAATCACCCCCCAGGGGGGATGGTCACGCCGCAATCCCTTCTCCTCCATTCTCCTCTCGGGATCTTGGGCACGCACGCACGCACACGCGCCCGGCGTGAGTTTTAAGACACCGGGTCCAGGACACGAACCGCGGTCGACTACGTGGGAGTCCAGCGACATAGCCATTACGCTAACTGCTGGTTCCCTATAATAGTATCTTTGAAGATAAAATTTTAGTCACTTTTTATACTTTGTGCTCTTTCTATCCTAAGAAATCTTTGCAAAGCCCAAGATTTTATTCTATGATTTTTATAGTTTTAGGTCTTAAGTCAGTATAATCTTTAGTATTAATTTTTGTGACTATATGGTGGTAAGTTAGGATTGGGTTGCATTATTTTTGATTTTCTTGCATAGAGTTAAGCTCTCATTTCAGTACCATTAGTTGAAATATTTTTCTTTTTTTTTTCTAATTTTATTTATTCATTCATTTATTTTAATTTGACCAGAGAGAGACAGAAAAAGAGAGAGAAAATGAGAAAGCAAGCCACCAGGTCTGGGACCTGACCCGTGGTCAGCCATGTGGGAGTGTCCAGCGCCTTGACCACCATGCCACCTGCTGGTCCCTGAAAGATTTTTCTTACCTTCATTGAATTGCCTTTACACTCTTATTAAAAATAAGCTGATCAGGGAACCAGCAGTGAGCGTAATGGCTATGTCGCTGGACTCCCATGTAGTCGACCCCGGTTCGTG